GCATATGGTAGCAGAGGAGTTGAAGCTTCTTCGGTGGCTTCCGTTTAATTTCAAATAAAAAACTGCCAGAGACGGCGGCAACGATAAGGAGAATCGGAGACCAGGAACAATTCAGTTCCATGTCAACCCCTATCTTCTCTGCAATGAAAATGGAACTCCGAAGAACCTCGAACGCGGTTCTCATCACCACGGTGATCTCCGTATTCCTCCTCCTTCTGGTCCACCGCTTTGACTTCTTCAATCTTCTCGACCTCAATCCCAGGGAGTACTCTAAGGTCTCTTCTATGTTCTACTAGCTTCATTTTCATAGGACTTCGCTGTAATTCATCTGGTTCTAATTTCAATTTCACATTATCACTTTGACCTGCACTTGCTTCTTTTCTTTGGTAGGAAACAAGAAGATTAATTGATATAATGGGTGTTATTATTGAACAAGTAGTTTACTATGGCTGTTGAAGAGGAGGATATGAGGTGTTATTTTTATCTGGGGTAGATTTAGCTGGTTAATTTATAATAATAAGGTGGTTTGGGATTCATTGCTGCAACAAAAAGCAACTTTTTTTTTTTTTTGGTGTGCGTATTGTACCCATCTTGTACTTTTATTGCCTGAGGTTTATTAGTAAGTTACTTTCATATATCATGAATGATTGTATCCAGTGTTGCTGCTAAAGATGTATGGGTTTTTGATGTATGCTTGGTTTTATATGAGAATTGCAGGAAGATCTATTGGAGGTGAAGGTGAAGACATTGACATCTTTAACGACACAACTTCCTTATCCATACTATTCTCTTCCTTATTGTCTCCCACCAAATTTAGTGAACAGTACAGTGAATCTTGGGGAAATTCTTCATGGTGATCCTATCCAAAACTCCCCATATTTGGTAAGTTTTAGTGTTGTTGATGGATATAATTAGTCTTGCTTACTTGATGGCTACTGACTCTTTCTCTACAACTTCAACCAATGCAGTTTAGAATGCGAGAACCACAGACGTGCAATGTTGTTTGCCGGCTTACACTTGATGCCAAAACAGCCAAGGAGTTTAAAGAGAAGGTTGAAAATGACTATCGAGTCAATATGTATGGTTCTTGTTGTATTCAATAATTCAGACAATATTTGTGCTCGCATTTGTTAGAAACTGATAATTGCTTTCGAGTTTTCATTTTCTAATTAGTTTGCCATGCATGCACAGGATCCTTGATAACCTTCCTCTACTTGTCCCAATACACATTTCAATTTGGGAACCTGTGTTTTATCGACTTGGCTTTCATGTTGGGTTGAAAGGCTCATATGATGGGGTACATAATGTCTATTGGTTTTAAAAGCTCTATTTTCTGTGATGATGCAATATTTACAGCAGATTGCCTGATTATATATAGGGCAAGGAGAAAAAGTATTTCATTTACAACCATTTGGCGTTTACTGTCAAATATCATAAAGATCTACAAACTGACTTATCAATGATTGTCGGATTTGAGGTTAAACCATTCAGGTAAGCTTCCTCTTGAATTCTAGCTTTTCCATAAAACTGCTTGTTGGAATGTGTGTGAATTTCGTAATCTCTCAGGATATCTAATCTTTGATGAGTGATGACTTTTATGTTATAAACCATGCAGTGTTCAGCATGAATATGAAGGGATATGGAATGAGAAGACACTTTTGAAGACATGTGATCCCAATGCAAAGCAAACGGTTATGAATTCCAACTCTCTCCAAGAAGTCGAAGAGAAAAAGGAAATTATATTTACCTATGACGTTGAATTCCAGGTGAGCTTTTCTGCAATAAACAACTTTGTACTAGTAGAGTACTGGTTGATAGCTTATTTAAATGGACTCTGCTGGCAAATAACGTTTCCATATTAGTTTCCCATTAGATAATTTTTCTTGAAATAAGCTCATATGTGGTAGCAAAACTAGATGCTTGGTCACTAGCAAGTGCTATTATTCTCATCATTTTCCTGCTGTTGATTTTCTGATTATGGCCATTCAGGAGTCTGATACAAAGTGGACATCAAGATGGGATGTCTATGTGCATAGGGATAACCAACTCCACTGGTTTTCAGTTATCAGCTCTCTGACTATTGTTCTGTTCCTTTCTGGCATGATAGCAATGATTATACTGCGGACAGTTTATACTGATGTTTCTAAATATAATGAACTTGAGAACAAAGATAAAGATGAAGAGACTGGATGGAAGGTTGTTCATAGGGATGTCTTCTGGCCTCCGTCTAATCCTGATATATTCTGTGTTTGTGTGGGAAGTGGTGTCCAGTTGTTAGGAACCATTCCTGTTACTCTGATGCTTGCTATTCTTGGAATCTTTTCCCCTTCAAACCGAGGTGGTCTTAGGACAACGATGCTCTTGATTTGGGTCTCCATGGGCTACTTTGCTGGCTATGCCTCTACTCGTCTACACAAAATATTTGGAGGATCAGAATGGAAGAAAATTGCTCTGTGGACTGCCTTAGTGTTCCCATCTATTATTCTTACCATTTTCTTTGGCTTGAATATGTTCATGCTGAGTCAGACTTCACCTGTGGCCATGCTAGGTGGAACAATGAATGTTCTGGTCTTCCTGTGGTTGGGAATTTCAGTCCCACTGGCATTTATTGGAGGCTATTTTGGTTTCAAGAAGCCAGCAATTGAGGATCCTGTAGTAACGAAAAAGGTTCCAAGGCAGATCCCAGAGCAATCTTGGTATGTAAACTCATTTTTATTAATTCTGGTTGGAGGAGTATTCCCATTTGTAATCATTTTCGTGGAATTCTTCTACGCACTCATCTCCACCTGGTTCCATGAGTTCTATTCCATCTCCGCCTTCCACATCTTGGTCTTCATTGTTTTCTTCATCACCTGTGCTGAGGTGACCATTGTGCTTTGCTATGTCAAGTTACGCAGTGAGGACTACCTTTGGTGGTGGAGGTCATACTTTACATCAGGGGCCTCGGCTTTGTACCTCTTCCTCTATGCCACATTCTTCTTCTTCACAAAGTTTGGGTCCACGAGTATGATTACTGGGATTAGGATACTGTACTTTGGATACATGTTGATTGCTTCGCTCACATTCTTTGTGCTCTCTGGTACCATTGGATTTTATGCATGCTTTTGGTTCACAAGGCTCATCTATTCATCTCCTAAGATTGATTAATTGATACTGATCATATCACCGTACTGGGTATTTGACATATCAAAGTAGCTCTGAGCTTGTTTTTTTATGTTTCAATGAATAATACCCATCTAATTAAGTTCTAAATGCATGTCTACTCTTGAAAAGCTTATGGTGAATTTTCCTGGTTTTCAGTTTGTGTTCTTGGTCTTTTCAGATTCTGCTCATAATGCATGAAATAGGTTGATTTTCCCTGCATATTCAGTGGCCATGAAAACCGAAAACTTTCATTACATTTACTAGCTTAAGAACAAGAATTTGCTTGGTTCCATATGTTCTACAAAAAAGGACTATATAGAAACTGTTTGCCTAGGTCTCATCTGTATCTACTTTCTGGTGTGAGTAACCCTGTGGTCTGCGACCCCTGTGACCACCTAAGCAACATCCACAGCGGCCTCCTTTGCAAAAAAATCCATGGTGGCGACTTCCGCCCTTCTTTTCGTATAAAACACCATGTACCCAATGGCGGCGCTGAGGAGGAGGCCGGACATGGCAATGGTGGTGATGCTGAAGGGCAGCCTGCTTCTTTGTTGTTACAGGTGGTGTCCCGGTGGCCTCTTGGACTGCTCCACCCCTGTTGCTCTCCTTTGATCTCCTGTATCCATCTTGTGAGTATCCGCATTTTTCCTCCATGCTTCATCCCTTGCCGTCTCACCCTTTCTCTTGAACTTGCAAAGTGAACATTGGATTTTTTAACATTGACTGTTCCCCCCATCGGTCCAAATTTTTAGAGAGAAGATCTAAATAAATTTATTAATTTTAAATTTTTTATTTAAAAATATTAATT